GTTTTGTGAGTTGTAAAGATGAAGAAATGACTTTTCTGATAATGAAGGCAATATATAGGGGGAAAGACAACTAAGAGTTGGAGAGAGAGAAAACGTGCAACAACATCAATTCCTAGATCCAGGAATCGAGCCAATACATTCATGATAGGTAGTGTTGTACTACAGTGGCTTTACGTAAATAGAGTTCTGACTGATAGAGACTTTAGGGCAAGGGCAGTGAGGATAGAGAAGGCGGATTGATTTGAGAATTGTTTAGGAAGCAAACCTACTACGACTTGGGATTAAATGTGAGAGGTAGGGCAAAAAAAGGTAGCACCTAGGTTTCTTCCTGGAATGGATGTGTGTATGTAAGAGAATATAGTTCAAGAGCCAGATTTGGAGGAAGACGATAAGTTTGGGACATGCTGAATTGAGGTATGTCTGGGACATCCAGATGGAGATGTTTGGTAGGCAGTATGAAGCTTGGGGGAAATGTACATGAATGAGATATGAATTGGATATTGATATAAGCATCGGAATGTTGGTGGTAGTTGAAACAATAAGAGAGGACAGGATCACCTAGGTGAATGTGTAAAGTGGGAGGAGTAGTTGGAAACACCAACATTTAAGGAGCAAGTGGAGAAAGGGAAGCCATGAAGGAGATAGAGAAGAAATGATCAGAGAAGTATGAAGAGAAGGTGTAGAGGTAAGGAGTAAATATACTGGAGGTGAGTGGAAGAGCTGAGGTCAGAGAGTTGGATGTTAGTTTAAGATTCTTGAGGTAAAACAGTTCCAAGACCAAGGTGTGGCCACGAGGGTGGTGGCTGATGTGGCACTGGTGGAAGTAAAGGCCTTGGGCATGACAATATCCAGGCAGGGATAGACTAGGTTGGTGGATGGGTTTATCTACTGGATGTTCAAATTGCCTGGGATTACGGCAGAATCTGGGCTGTTGAAGAAGACTATGAGAGGGAGTGACTGGGAGGTAAGGAGATCAGAATAAGTAAGAGTTGAGGGTAGTAGGGCCAAGGGGCAGGAGGATGAGCTTTAATGGATGCTTACCACTGACAGGCATGGGGCTAAGAGCTTTGCATATATTTTCTCATTTAATCCTTACAGCAATGCCATCAGTTAAGCACCATGATTAGCCCCACTTTGCAGATGAGGAAAATGAAACTTTGATAGGCTCTGGAATTTTCTGAAGACTGCTCAGCTAGGCAGTGGTGGAGCTTTGACATGATAGTGGAAGAATACGGATCTGGAAGGGCAGTGGGGAAGCAGACGTAGCCTGATCTTCCTGACCTTGCGAGTGGGATAGGAGTATGGAAAGAGGGTGGCAGGGGAAGCAGTGTCCTTAGAGTTGAATCAGGTTTTAGCAAAGGCCAGAAGGAGAAAGGGCTGTTATGGAAAAGGATGATGAGTGTGATACGGAGAAGAAGTTGGAAATTGGGTCAAGGGAGAGCCGAGGTGGGGATAATGATATGGGAGTGGAAAGAAGACAGTGGAAGGGGACTTTAGTTTAGTTTCAATCATAGGAGCGAGAGACCTGGTTGAAGAAACTTGCAATAAATATTCTAACTTTGGCACAAGTTACTTTGGTCCTGGCCCTGGCTGGGGGCTCTAAGCAGATTCTGGCTGGCCCCAGTGGGGAGAGGAGTCAGCTACAAGGTGTAGAGAAATGTTAAGGATGTGGCCGTAAGTGGAGAGATGGCATCCACAACTGAGGGAGAGGCAGGGTAGGATTTTCTTTTGGTGCCTGGTGCAGGGAGAAGGCATTTGTCAATTTCTGTGGTGTAAATACTCCCACCATAGCCAATTTCAAGTTAACAACATGATGTGAAGTTGGAAAAATATGTGTACCATTGGGGCTCTTGGCAGCTGGTGTGAGCTGGTTCTAGCACAAAACTGATCAGGCTAACCTTAGACCCTCCATGAGAGCAGTGGAAAAGTCTAGATTATATAGTGATCATGACACTGTGGTCATAGAAGTGGGCTCACAGAATGCCAGGAGCAGTTCTGGTTTCTAGATGTAATGTAGCACTGTGAAGGATAAGATGTGGTGCTCCATTCACAGACTCATTGTGGTCTGTGGAGCGGGCCATAATGGGGTGAGGTCTAGAGGAGACTGCGCAGTTCACATCAACCGGGCAGAACCATTAGGTCTATCTGCCCTGTGTCCTCTGTGGGACCCTCTGGTTATATGTGTGCCAGTGTCCTACCATTACTATCCTGTTCTATACGATAAAGCTTCTGGATTTATAAATTCATGGTGAGTAAGAATCTGACACTTTCCCCTAAGTAATTTCTTTGCCAAATAAGTTTGGAAATGACTGCAATCAGGTTAACAGAATTTCAAGTACCTAAGAAATTCATCCACATGAATAATTTATTTTTATCTGTAAGAAAAAAAAATCCTCTGTTTTGCAGAAACTTCGATTATTAGGATATTCATGCATATGAGAGGATGACTTCAGGAAAAAAGCATAGTGGTAAAACCAACAGGGAAAATAAGCCACGACAGGAGATTAACAAACATAGTCTGGAAGTACCGTCCTCATCAAATTAAAAAGTCAAATATAAACCAGTGCATTTTCTGGTTGTGCACACACCACGTGTGCATCCTACATAATGGTACAACATTAATCAGTGCTTTTCTTATGATGGAATGCATACACGGACTCCCAATGTAAGTTAAGAGTCCTATTTCTTCTGAAACATTTGAAAAGACCAAGACATTCACTGTCAGTAATGGGCTGACCCACATGATCTGCCACCAAAAAAACCCAGCAAATCCTCATGCTTTTGCAATATGACCATCAAGAAGCAGGATGTTTTCCTTTTCCTTCTTTTTCAAATTGCCCATTGACCTACCCCTGGCATTCTAAGGAGAGGCTGTGGATTACAACCCAGGAGAAGGCAAACCAGCCTTCTCTACTGGTTTGGTGTGCAGGAAAGAGGAAAAGGAAATAGGAGAGCCATTTCACAATTTATGAACACGTAAGTCCTGGTAAACCAAACCCATTGCCGTGGAGACAATTCTGACTCATAGGAGTTTTGTGACTCTTTCTCAGGGATAGAGAACGAACTAGTAGAGTTAGTTCTGTAGAATATCAATCCGTTGAGGTTAGTGGCAGATGGTGATTTGTGATTCTCACGATAGCCTTCAGTCTCCTAGCCTGGCTCCTTCCTGCTTGGGGCTTACAATGCCAGTTTGAGGCTTGCCAAATCCCAATCACAGCAGATTTACTGATTTCTCTATTAGCTAGTATGCCTACCCTTTGTTTATTATTTATATCCTAGCATCATCCACCCCCTCGCAAGGGTTTGATCCATCTTCCAGTGAAAAGCAGAGTTATAATAAAAATAGAACCATTAGAACCTAAATGGGAATGAGCGGTTGGCACAAGTAGGGGCACTAGAATGTTATTTATATTGAAAAGCCGAAGAAGGGGGAAAACTGCTACAATTGAGCCAAAATTTAGCCCTGAACTCCCTGGCAGCCAAGACAAAAAGGGAACATGATGAACCACTCTTCTGCCACTTCATACATCTCACTACTAAGTTCTCTGGAAGGGTGGGGTGTACAGTAACCAGGCCAGCAAGCATGCTTTCCACAGGCTTCCCATGCACTGAGACACTTACCTGATAATATGGATGCAACGGCTGCAATGATGAAGGACACAATGACACCAGGTCCTGCCATTTCCTTGGCCACCAGGCCAGAGACCACGTACATACCCGTGCCCACACAGCTGCCAACACCAAGAGAGATGAGGTCCACGGTGGTAAGCACCTGGGCTAGCTTGGTGCCGTGTGCTGTGGTGGCCCCAGTTCCCTCCAGCATGGACTCCACTGGTTTGGTGCGCAGAATCCTGGAGTGCATGGCGTACCAGGCAGCCCCCCATTGCACCCGCCGGGGGTCCAGGGAGGCAAGGAAGCCACTCATCTTGAGTGATAGGGGTTGTGGTGTAGGTCAGCTGATGGAAGAGGGCTATAGATGCCTTAGTGGATGGTTCTGGAATTCATCTAGTGAACAGGGATCTCCCTTTTAGGAAAGGTCCAGAGGGACCCAAAGCAGTCTTCTCCTGGTCATGAATGTCTGCAAGCAAAACACAAGAAAGGAGAGGATGAGACCAAGTGGGAAACAAACCATAACTGGGAGGCATAAACCAAAACCAAATCTATTGCCGTTGAGTTGATTCTGACTGGTACGGATGCTATAGGACAGAGTAGAATTGCCCCATCGGGTTTCCAAGTAGTGGCTGGTAGATTCGAATTGCCGACCTTTTGGTTAGCCGCCGTAGCTGTTAACCTCTACATCACCAGAACTAGCTGGATGTTAAGGTACTGAACTGGTAGAAGTCTATCCTATGCACTCGCAACCTGGGAGGGATGCATTTTTAAAGTACAGCCGAACATTCCAAGTACTGCGCTGATATGCCTAGGACATTTACATTTACACTAAGTATAAGCCCATGTAATCTACTAATATTATTAATTACTACTACTTAGCACTTAATGTAACACTTGTCTGCCACTAGAGGGTTTTTGAACGTAAACTAATTAGAAGAATCAGGTGAAATATGGCAGCTTGGTTCACAGGGTTTGAGTGACAGCCTTACTGGTTTCATTTCCTCCTAGATCTGACAGTGTCACCTTATGCCATGTTTTTACTCTTGACAACCGCTTAAGTACCACTACAGCTGGATAGTCAGTGTATATGCCAAAACCATTTAAAAGCCTGGAGTGTCTGCATTCATTTCATGTTTGGATTTGTGAGAAAATGTGCCACATGTATACAAGGAAGGATGTAAGAAAGACTGCCTTGGTTGCGGTCTTGTGGGGAAACTAATGGACTAATATACTTAATCTTAACCCAACTCGCATGTATTGAGCATCCATTATGTGCCAGGAAGGGTGTTAGGCTTGGGATGCAAAGTTGTGGTCCTTGCTCTCTTGGGGCTTCCAGTCTAGAACTGGAGGTGATGAACATTCAAATCACAATGCTAGTGAGAGATGTTTTTTTTTTTTTTTTCCTGAAAAGTTTATCTTTTATTATTTTTCTTATTACAAAAGCATAGCATGTCTATTATGGAAGAATCAGACCATATAGGCAAAAAACAAACGTGAGTAAACAAAATACTACCTACCTATTGATGATCTATCATTAAAAGCTGATTTATAGTTTTTAGACCTTTTTCTATACTTGTATATGCATATGTTTGCACGGCGGTTAAAAGCTCTGCTGCTAACCAAAAGGTGGGCAGTTTGAATCCACCAGCTGCTCCTTGGAAACCCAATGGGGCAGTTCTACTTTGTCCTATAGGGTTGTTATGAGTTGGAATGGACTCCACAGCAATGGGTTTGGTTTATATATAT